TTGAGGCATACCGCAATGCTATCTTGATGAGTGCTGGGTTATATGAGACACAACCATACCTGTCTATCTAAGGGTGGCCTTGAGGCCATATCCCATGCTAATCTGATGAGTGCTGGGGTTATATGAGACACAGCCATATTGTCTATTCTAGGGTGGTATTCTGAGCATAACCCATGCTGGGGTTGTATGTGGGCATACCATGACTTGCTATCAGGAGGCAATGTCTATGATGTCTGTAGCATTTGGGGTTGTCTGGAGGCATACGCCATGGTTTTCTGTGGGTGATTTGAATGTATTTTGAGGCATGCTAGTGTTTCCTGGACGCACGTTAGCGATGTCCCACATCCATTTTGGAGGCTAGCCGGAGGTACAGCTAGTGTGTGTTCCAAGTTTGATGAGCTTCCAGCAGTTTGCACTGCAGTTTCCAATGTCTATGTGACATGAATAACTCTATGATGACTCTCCTACTTTCTCATCAGACACACACCTTATAATGGTGTGTGTGTGTGTGCGTGTGCGTGTGGCGTGTGCGTGTGCGTGTGGCGTGGTGCGCGTGTGGCGTGTACGTGTGGCGTGTGGCGGGTTGCGTGTGCGTGTGCGTGTGCGTGTGCGGTACGCGTGCGCGTGAAGCGTGTGCGTAATGTGTGTGCCGCACTCCTGCCTCGTTTGCCTGCCAACATGCCGCAATTTTTCTTCGTTAAAAACACTTCCACAACACAGCAAAACTTACCGCACCACGGCCAACTGTGGCACAACCCATAAAAGGATAGAGCAGGTGGAAAGCGTGAGCGTCAAATTTCGTGAACTGCTCGCGTTCGTTAAAAACTAATAACAGCGCAAGATACACAGCCAATATTGTCTTGATCTTGCTTTCTGTGCGTACCAAGTGTTCAGTTGTTTCACAACCCTCCGCGCGCTGGGTAGTCGTCAGTAAGTAGAAACTAATTATACACCAAGTAATCGTCTGCAAAATCTTGCGAAAAAGATACGCTCTGCTTCTGTGATGTCCAATTGGAGGCAATTTGGTGTTTTATGCCGAAAATCCTTAGGGGCGCTGTTTGGTACGCAAAGAATGTTTATTGAACGTACTTGGCTGGTCTTGTAGCTAAGTGCGGGCTTGTCTCGGAGCTTGAGCCGAATGCAGTTCGCCAACTATTGTTCAATGTTATAGAAGGCGCGATTTTACATTGCTGCGGAGAGCAAATTAGCAGTGTTTTGGCAAGATATCTTATATAAGTGGTTTTGGGCGTTCTACCCAATCGCAAAGGGATTCTTAAACGAAAAAAAAAAATATTTCTATAACCGAGGCAGGTGAGTGAATGTCTACGTAACAGATATCCAACATGAGGTGATTGGTCCGTTTGTGTTTTTGCAGTGGTAGTTTGAAAAACAAGCCCGAACGGCTTGCGAATTGGTGTCCACGCTCCCCCCCCCCGCCCACTTGCTCTGTTATCTTAATCTTTTTATTAATTTGTGGCAGAGTGTACGCGTGTGTTAAGAACTGTTGTGTTGCAGAGGAGATTTGACCTATACTAGAGTACTGTACTGACATAAACACCTGAGACTTGGTAGTAAGATAAAAGTCGGTGTTTATTTATTCTCGTTTTTATTATTGAGACGGGCCAAAGTGCCTGTGAGGGGACGTAGACAAACGTCAATAGCAAGTACTACAGTTCGTGTGGCATCAGGTGGTCAGACCAGAGTGGAGGCAACTCAGGTGTGCAGACGCAGGTGTG